ATCTATCTATCTACCTCTATCACCATCTCTCCCAAATAAATGTATCTTATTTCCACAGTAGTCTTTTTTTTTCTACATACTTCTTACGTCTTGCTTCGAAGGGTCACGTTTCTCGTTAAGAAATAGATTTTGATTAAATTCGTGATTATATTCTGCTTCCTTCATATATTCCTAAATTAATATGGGTCATTACTTCGACCTTTCCCTTCTGCTGCTTACATCAATGTAATATCTTTAGGTTACAGTAAAAAGGTAGGTATTTTCAGTATTGGTAAGAATGATAATATCACTATTGCTAATAATATTATTCCTAATAATGCTATGCATATTGCTACCACTACTGTAAATGATAATGACCTTAATAATAATGAATAACAACAATGGTAAGGATAATTACATAACTGTTTGTAAAATAATGAAAATGATGACAGTAATCAGTAATAATTATAGTGCTAATAATTGCAACAATAATAATAAACTGTTACACTAGACAGTGACATTAATTTTGTTTTACAGTGATAATGATAATAGTGAAAATAATGAAAATGCTGATGGTGGTGATAATAGCAATAGCAACAACAACACTAATAACAATTTTAATAATGATAATAATAATAGCATATTAGTGATAATAATTATGAAAATAAAAGTAACAGTAATGATAATGATAACAATAATAATAATGATAATCATAATAACAACAATAATGATATTCATAATAATAATGGCATCAACAATGATGATAGTAAAATAATGATAATAATGATAACTGTTACAATAATAACAATTATAATAACAATGATGATAATAATAGTTATTGATAATAACAGTCATAATGATAACAATAATCATTATTATCATCATCATTATTATTAGTATTATTAGTATTGTTATTATTATTATCATTATTATTAGTATTATTATTATTATTATAGTAATGTTAACAGTGACACTAATAAGAAGAAGAAGAATGAGGAGGAGGATAATAATGATAATAATAATAATAATAACAATAATGATAACAATAATAAAAATGATAATAATAAAAATAATAATGATAATAATAATAATAATAATAATAATAATAATAATAATAATAATAATAATAATAATAATAATAATAATAATGATAATAATAATGATGATGATGATAATAATAATAATAATAATAATAATAATAATAGTAATGATAATAATAATGATAATTGTTATTATTATTATTAATAATAAAAAATAACAACAATGAAAAAAATAGATATAAAAAATAATAATAATAATAATAATAATAATAATGATAATAATAATGATAACAATAATAATAAGAAGAAGAAGGAGAATGATAAAAATAATAATAGTAATGATAATAATAATAATAATGATAATAATGATAATAATAATAATAATAATAATAATAATGATAATAATAATAACATTAATAATAAAGTGACACTAATGATGATGAGGATGATGATGATCATAATAGTAATGTCAACAACAATAATAAAACCATCTGTGCCATCAGTACGGTAGACTTGTTTGCATTCCGTGCAACCTATTTTCTTTACGTTTCGTTGACTTTTACCGAACACTTAACGTTTTGACGAGCAACACATACAAGTTTTTTTCGAGGAAGATAATAAAAAAAATGAAGATGAGAAAGTCACTGTTCATATTCATTCTTTTCCTTGTTTTTGTGAGGGATTGGGGGTGGGGGGGAGACTTCGTGTACGATTTGATATGTGAAGAAAAAAAATTATGATTTTTTACTTTGCGTGTAAATCGCCGCGTTGTTCCTAGTTCTTGATTACAGCTATTTATCTATTTTCATTTTTTTTTCGTTTGTAAATCGATGAAGCACTGCACAAACTTCTGATGCTACAAAAAGAAGGAAAATGCATGAGATTCGCGCCTTATTAGAGCGATAGTTTGGAAGCCTTTTTCCATATACTTTTCGAAACAAAAAATCATATTAGAGCTATCCTATTTACAATAAACAGAATGAAATGGTTATAATGTGTCCTCGTTTCACACAAAAATGTTATTCAGTTCGACGAACCTTTGAGAACAAATTCAACTTTTTTCGTATTCGCAAAATTATTCAGGGTCATTTCCAGCATATTCTAACATACTTTGTCATACATCACAATCGTTGCTAAGGTCATTCAACATACCTATTGAATGTTTCACTATAAATACCTTCAATTTAACACTGCCTTATCTGTATTTCGGTTAAGTTTAGAAACCGCAAGGCTTCAATATATAATCTTGAACATCAGTAATTCTATAAAATTATATATTATAAATCCGAGGTTCTTCTGAATATCTAACTTTCTCGGTGTCACAACCTGACACTTTCGCTCGTGTGAAGCAATAAGTCTCTCCCAAGATCCCCGAGCTCGTTTTCCCTCAATATCGTTTAAAATTTCAATTCGATTTGCTCTTCACTTTTTCTCGGTGTTGGATGAAAACTTGATTTCATTTTTGCTCCGCTTTAAAACAAAAAGGAAGCTGAGACCCTGAGTTTCCTCTTTGTTATGGGAGGGAAATTCACTCTAATTTCCGTTTTTTTTGTTTGTTTATATGCACACATACACGTGTGTATGTGTGCTCACTTACATACATTCACATACGTGTACATGTGTGTATGTATATATATATATATATATATATATATATATATATATATATATATATATATATATATATATATAAACATATAGACGCACACACGTGTATATGTGTGTATGTATATATATTCATATATATAGATATAAATATAGATATAACTTCGCTCTTCATGTTAAACATGAACCTAGTGAATATATTTATACTTATTTAACGATAAACATTGCATCCCTCGTGAATCTGCTAATGACCAACCCTTCAAAAAATCTAAGGTCATTAGGCCAAATATTTTGACCTAAAAAATAGGCAACACCTCAAGGGCTTATATCGTTGCAATGTAGAATATTGCGTGAGAGAATTTCCTGAAAAACGGGTAAGAACAAAGCTATACCCTTATAATTTCCTGATAAGCATACATTTTTTTTCATTCTTTATTGTAACCTCTCCTTCATTCAACGTTATTCACGATAAAATAAAATAACGGAACATATTGGTATAAAATGAACGTTAAAAGAAGGAATTACTATTTTTAACCCACATATACCTTAAGATACTTCACCCCTTCCCTTATTGTATGTACTGTCATGCTCCCTATAGCCATGGCTTTGGAATCTAAATTGTCAAATTATTCTAGACAATTATTATGTATGCATTTATATATGTCAGTAGATAGAAAGGAAGATGAGTACATGTAGATAAAAACATAAATGTATGTGTTTGAGTGTGTGTATGTATGTGTGTATGTGTGTGTGACCGTATGTGTGCATACGTACACACATACGTATACACATATACATATATACGTATATATGTATATATACATATATACGTACGTATGTATATATACATACATACATACAAAACACACACACACACAAGCATATATATATATATATATATATATATATATATATATATATATATATATATATATATATATATATATATATACATACATATATGCATGTATGTATGTATGTGTGTGTCTATCTAGAAATCATTATTTCTATCTCTCTATAATTATACATATGTATATGTATGTGTGTATATATATATATATATATATATATATATATATATATATATATATATATATGTATATACATATATATATATATATATATATATATATATATATATATATATATATATATATATATATGTATGTATGTATGTGTATACACACACACACACACATACACACACACACACACACACACACAAACACACACACACACACACACACACACACACACACACACACACATATATTATATATAGAGAGAGATAGATAAATGTTGTTGTTTTTTTTATCTAATCTATCTGCCTGTGCGTGTCTGTGTGTGTGGATGGATAGTTAGATGGATTGATTGATTGACTGACAGACAGAGATACTACTATTACTATGCAGCTAATAGTAGTAATGTATTTCATTTGAATTTCCTTTCCCTTTTTGAGCTGATACTAGGCATTATACTCGAACACACAAGGTTTACAAGCTGATATTTAAACAATATATAATTTTCCTATCTTTATTTTAAAAAAAACTAACTTAAACAGAAGCAGTCCCTGTCGCCATATCATAAACAGACTACAGTATCGTTCGAGTCATCAATGAAGGCACTTTGCATTTTTACTGTGGGGCGCCGTAGGTGGCTGAGGGCTTTCTTGCGTTGCGTGCATCCTCCTGGGCGGCGAAGGCGATCTGGTCGAGGACGAACTGAGGGATCGGGTGGGGGAACTCAGGGGCCACGGGCAGGAGGTCGGACTCGGGTTGGAAGCCGTTCTCGTTGGCGACGAATTTTACGTAAACAGGAGTGCCGTCGGGAGCTGTGTATCTGTGGCAGAATTTGAGGGAGATTGGTCAGTCTTGCAAGTTTGATTGATAACATGATATGGTATACTCATTTCATTACATTAGTATGTATCCATTAAAATGTAACTCACGAGAAATAGCCAGCGCTGTTGATGGCTCCCTTTACGCCGGGAGCACCGGACTCCGACACAGTGATGCCGTTAGCGGTCTCTACGTCGAAGTTGTACCTGCCGTCGTCCTCCATTATGCGGTCGTCTCTCAGAATAGGTATTTCTTCGCTGGATGCATAGCGAGGCGGGGGAGGAGCACCGTAGCCTTGGGGGACGGCGATGGCCACGGCAGCCAGGGCGGCGATAATTACCTGGGTGGAGGAATGGAGATCTGTCATTTAACTTTTACTACAGGTGAATAGTAAACAGATGCGGAGTTCAGAGATAAGCAGGGCTGTTTGCGATAAGAGACGCGCTTCACTATACGTTTCATATTATACACCGAATTTTTGTGATAGCAGTATATCACCGATCGTCGCTGTACTTTGCCCATTACTCACAAACTTCATGATAGCTGTTTCTGTCTAAAACTGATGCTAGAGACACCTCTTGTATCGCATTTATAGTCAGTCCGTTGTGATGCAAGCAAACGGCCTTTCGGTAACCTTGCCAACCTATTCGATGTGTTATGATACTATCTGTCTGTATTATAAATCGTTTCCTCTCATTTTACGCACAACTTTTTGATTGGTGTTGCCAAATGTGAAATTAAGATTTCACAATGCATGACCGTTGGCAGTACAGTGATGTAATTGCTGATTTCATGTCATTTCATCAGGTCTCCTGATACACTTCTGATAAGAGATTCCGAATTGTTGTGAATTATACCTCTCTCTCTCTCTCTCTCTCTCTCTCTCTCTCTCTCTTTCTCTCTCTCTTTCTCTCTCTCTCTCTCTCTCTCTCTCTCTCTCTCTCTCTCTCTCTCTCTCTCTCTCGCTCTCTCTCTCTCTCTTTCTCTCTCTCTCTCTCTTCTCTCTCTCTCTCTCTCTCTCTCTCTCTCTCTCTCTCTCTCTCTCTCTCTCTCTCTCTCTCTCTCTTCTCTCTCTCTTCTCTCTCTCTCTCTCTCTCTCTCTCTCTCTCTCTCTCTCTCTCTCTCTCTCTCTCTCTCTCTCTCTCTCTCTCTCTCTCTCTCTCTCTCTCTCTCTCTCTCTCTCTCTCTCTCTCTCTCTGGTTCTCTCCGTCGCAACAACTTATAAATTCTTCATCCTCTCATCACACATTTAATAATTTCTTTAATAATCGCATTTCTCACAGACGCCTAGATATAAAGACTGTATCAAATGACGTACTAATTCTTTACATTCCACAGAAACTACACGAGGGAATTGCGTGCGTGTCCTAATACAAAAACCTTGTGGGTTTTTGGTAATGACGGTGGTCTGAACAAAAGTTTTTTTTTTTTCTCATGCAACAAAGAGAAAAAAATACCCGTCAGTAGATTGCTATTTCCCACTAATTTTCGTTACTTTCTATGGCGTGTGTCAGGAGCGGTGTATCAGAGGAGAAAAATGCATTTTACAATCTGGAAGGAATGTGGCTCCTTACACTAGACAAAGAATACATATGTGTAACACACGTACGAATATTTGTGCATTCGTTTCTGGTTAATAAATAAATGTTAATACAACTAACGAGAAGGAACCGCCGCTGTTGATGAATAAATATTTTTGAAAATTGGTGAGAACTGTTTTGAAAATATAATGATAGTGGTAATTGACAATTATTGTTGTCATTATTATAATAATAATAATGATAATTATAATAATAGTAATAATTATAATTATGACGATGATGGTTATCATCATCATCACCATCATCATCATAATGATAATAATAATAATAATAATGACAATAATAATAATAATAATCATAATCATAATAAAAATAATAATAACACACAACAACAACGACGACAACAACAATAATAATGATTATAATTATATTAATAATAATAATAATGATAATAATAATAATGATGATGATGATGATAATAACAATAATAACAGTAATAATAACAATAACTATGATAATAACAATAATAATGATAATAACAATAATAAAAGTAATGATAATAATGATAATGATAATAATAATAATGATAATAATAATGATATTAATGATAACAATAATAATGATAATAATCATCATCATCATCATAATCATAATAATAATAATAATAATAATAATGATAACAATAATAATAATAAAAATAATAATAATAATAATAATAATAATAATAATAATAATAATGATAATAATAATAATGATAATAATAATGATAATAATAATAATAATAATAATAATAATAATAATAATAATAATAATAACAATAATGACAATAATAATGTTGATAATGATGATTAATAATGACAAAAATTATAATCAAAATAGAATCAATGGTAATAATAACAGTATACATAAACTAATGGCAATGATGTTATAGTATAATCCTAATAATATGAATAAATTTAATACAATATCAGAATAATCCCAATACAATAAAAGTAATGAATAAATGAGTGAAACGTAACCTTGGCCTAAAGATCCTTATTAGCTAAGAATAAATAGGGTCCCTTTTACCCACAGACTCGAACCCTGAAACACTGAAACAGTATTCGGGTATCTTACCGGTTTAGCCCACTGAGCCACTGAACACATAATAAGAGTGATAATAGTGATAACAAGAACATCGGTGATATCAAAGATAGATGTATTCACGTGATGAAAGTTGTATTCATGTGGTGAAAGTTATAACAATATTCGTAATGATATCAGGGAAAGAAAAGGTGATGATAATAAGAGTAATGTTACTAACAACAACATTAACATTACCAACAACAACAATAATAATAATAATGATAATGATTCGAACAGCAGTGATGATAATAATAATATCAATTACAATAGTAACATTCATTATGATGACGATACTGATAACTTAATAACATTTATGTTAATGATTGCAATGTTGATAATGATGATGAAACTAGTACTATAACTGATAATAGC